GCCGGTAATGACTGGTTCTGCCCCCGCCCAACAAGGGCAATTACATTGTCGTTACACGTCGAGGGCTATAACGACTTGCGCGACCGCGGGCCCTGCCCCACCCCCCTTCCCCGCCTTTCACCCGTCCTTTCCCATGTCCATATGCACACCAATTACACATGCTATGTACCTGTTTGAGCCAATCTAGACTGCATATCGAAGTACCAGGGGCTTCGGCTCCCCGTCACTCCCGAAGCACTTACGCCAAAAAAATACCCCCCCCCCCTCCTGTCCTGTCCCCGGGGCGGGTCAAGGGGCCTGAGGTAGTATTTTCGATTGAGTGGGGTGTGGTGTCTCCACTAGCCCGACGCTATCTGCCGTCCTGTCGATTCCCGCCCCGCCGCAGAAGCATCGAAAAGGGCTCGATAGGTCCCTCTCTCTCTTGCCCCCTTCCTCTCTCCCTCCCTTCCTCCCTCATCTCGTCCCCTCCCCCGTCCCGTTCCTCGATCGTCCGACTGCAAATCACTTAAAAAGATACACCCCTTCCCCTTGCCTGATGATCACCACACCTGCACCATCGTACTGCAGAGGTCCATCGCGAAGTTCTTGACGCATTGGAAGAGGCAAAAGTTGAGGGCCGTCACGACGATCTCCAGCTGCACGACGTGGTGGTTGGCGAAGACGTGCGTCCAGTGCACCGCCTCGGTGGTCACCACCGTCATCCAGACCCCGACCGTCATGGGCGCCGCTACCAGGCACATGAGCGCGGCGGTGAGTGCCACGGTCCGGGCCATCCTGCAGGTCTTGCGTACGTTCGGGAAGTGTGCCTGCGGAGGAGGCACCGAAGCAGTCCATTTAAGGACGAAATTCATTGAAGAGCCTCAGAGAAACCGAGTCTATTCGCACAACACGGCACCCACCATGAGGCTGGCGCAGAGCGTCTCGTTCCGCCGGAAGTTTCGCGCCTCGAGCCATATCAGCGGCAGCATGGCAAGCCCACTGAGGTGGACGAGCGTCACTACGGAGGTGAAGGTCGACTGCGTCTCCAAAGGGTCGGTGTCCGCCTGGTAGAACTCGAGCCGGGCAGTCGCCAGACGGAACGCCGACCACACCACCAGCGCGGTCACCAGCACGCAGTGTATCAGAGTAGAGCGTAGTGGGTGGAAGCTCACGCGGACTGCACCAAGAGACTAACCGTATAGGGATCATCCACACTGTAAGTTTCTGACGAAGAACTGCTCATCGAAACGTACCAGGGGTTTAGCACCTTCGTAAATACAAACAAACAAATTCTTTGTACATACCAGGTGGCTGATTAACCCCGCGCACTTCTGTAGTTAGACTGTACCGCACGCAGGAGTGCGGGCGGGCTTGCCTATCACCCCTGTCCACGGCGCCTTAGTGACCGGGCAAGTAGGCAGCCGGCCCGCACTCGTGCGTGCGGTACAGTCTAACTACAGAAGTGCGCTGGGTTAATCAGCCACCTGGTATTACCAAGAGCTCAGCCTCGTAATACGAAGAGCAAGTGTCTATTGACAAAGTTGTGGTCTTTGTCATGCAAGGAAATCCGTTTGTAATATGATGGTTCCAGATCCTTTCTAAAGTTATAAACCCAATTCTTCGTCATATCTTCGGAACGAAAAGGAAGAGTGCAGAAAGTACGTCAGTCATTCGCCGTCCCGTTGCAAGCATTTGCGTTCTCTCATAGCGCCTGCTAGGTAGGCACTGTCTCGTTCGCAGTGCACGCGTGTACTGCGGGATGGCCTACACTGAGTCTCGCAGGCGCCGAGCTCCCGTAATTTTTGCCGGATGGATCTGAGGGAAACGGATGTACTTTCTGGACGATCCCAAACTATCCGCAAACATTGGGTCTAATGTCCGGCTGAGAGGGGGGGGGTAGGGGGTGCATGGTCGGTTTCCTACATGAAGGGGGATTTGTAGCGTACGTTGCTTATCTTTCAGGCGGCTCACTAAAAACGACAGAAGGAGCGCCTGTTCAAAAGCTTCATGGCGCCAAACTATAGGGTAGTAGGAAGAGGGGGTTGCCAGCTCTTTCACATTTCACCTTTAAGGATTGTAAATGAAGCTCTCGCTCACGCTCACGCTCACGCGTGAGTGTCGCTTCGCGCGCGAGCGTTGCTGCTGACCGATAAACTTACGCGGTTTGAAAGAGACTGGCAGCATGCCGTAGAGCGCCATGACGAAGATGAGGGGTTGCATGTCCTCAAATATGCCGTGCCCACCGAACACGTCGCGGCCGGACTGCGGAGGGCTCACGGCCGGCGGGTACATCTTCTTCATCCATTCCTTGGAGTCCGGTGGAGGTCGCACGGCATCGCCGGGCCGGACGCGTACCGCTGACCAGCCAGCTGCTGAGCGCTGGGTCGAATAATGAAAGTCGTCTAGATGTTGCACGCTCAAAAAGTAAGTGTTACTGTGAAACTGACGCGCTGCGACAGCTCAACGGTCAAGCCTCGAGAAAGGGTGGCCCTGGAGTGGATTCAATCGGGGGCGAGTCCTCTTTGACCCACAAACCAGTGCTTCGGACGGTGTTGGTCGGGCACTAAACCCAGTGCGAAATGAATTTTAAGCAATATCGAATTGATATCAGAACGATATCGTTTTCAAGCCTCTGACTCAGAACTGATATGGAAATGGGCCCGAAATCGACACTTTTCTGATGTCCGATATCGTTCTGATATCAATTCGATATCCGCATTTCTCACTGGGTGTGCTCCTTGAACTACTCCTGACGCTAACTACTTCGGAATTGATGACTAAATTAGCGTCAAGTGTCATAAGGTTAGCAAAATCGTGTCTTTTGGACCAATAACCCGGCCACAAGAACGGCGGTCGTTCGAACATTTATTCTTTTTGGTGAGTGTACCAAGTGGCTGACTCGCGCCGTGCAGTTTCGTAGTTATACTGTACCGCATGCAGGGGTGTGGGCGGGTTTGTCTATCCTCGCTGCCCACGGGTCATTGTGGCCCCCTGCGAGTAGGCAACCCATCCGCACGCGTGTGCATACGGCACAGTAGCACTACGAAAGTGCGCGGCGTGAGTCTAGTCACCTGGTATGTACCACATCATGCTATAACATACGCACTCAGCCGGAATTTCTTTAAGAAGCCTGCCTTACCTGGTCTCACCAATGCCAATGAACCCAACACAGGGCTCTGATTACCGTGTTCATGATGCAGGTTGTGGTGTCTGCGGGCGGCGTTGGAGCAGCAGGCGCCTGTTTTACAATGGGGATCGCTGGTCGGTTGGTTTGGTCGGGGCTCCGCACTCGAACTGCCTGACGTCAGTAACTCACACCTCCTCCCCCTACAGCCCTCTCACATTTCGTGTGTACGAAGAGGTGTTCATTGCGATCGAACCGAAGAGTTAAACGTTGGGCGTGCGTGATGGGGATTCAACAGAGAGGGGGGGG